TTCCATACTCTAAGAATAGCCCATCTGATATAATGATTTTTAAAATCTACATTCACCTTAGCTTTATCATACCATGGATATCCATGCCATCCAAATCTCAGATTGTGACCTTCAATAACCTTCTATTTCTTAATAACACCCATTCTTTCATACGAACTAAACAACAACCAGCAAAATATAGTTTCAAATCTGGTAAGTCTAATCCTCCTCTTTCCTTCGCATCTTTTAGTAACTCGTGGTTTTTTCCCTTGCCATACAAATTTAGATATATCCTTCTGCCATTGTTTAAATGGTACATCAGTTGTCAAAGCAGATATTGTCTGAAGCAAAAATAATATTCTAGACCAATCATGTTATATAATGACTTTTAATCATGATTTATTGAACAAGCCACACTAGTTGGGTTCACACAAAATGCCAAACCATATACTGTGATTTACAGATCACAAAAGGCAGGAAGCAAACATCAGGCTAACCCAAAAGCAGTAGCACAGGATATGAACCCAACTTGTGACTGGACTGATTTTAGTGGCTGCTGATTCTGAATTAATGCTAGACTTTCTGAGGTAATTCACGAGGAATGCTATTTTATTTGTTTCCATATCTGTATGGAATTTCAACTAACCAAAGTTGCAGCTTGTCAGACTTTCAGGATTAGTAATCAAAGGTATCCTTTAGTCTGTACTTTGGGTCTTATCGAGATATAATGATATGGCACAATAATTCAAACTAACCTCTGCTCCCTGGGGACAAGGTAGAATACTTACCTGTTTGAGCCCTTGTGGTAGAAAGTTTATTTTATTTCATTTAGATTTTTTTTATCTGGCCTTTATTATTTTTATAAATAACTCAAGATGGTGAACATACCTAATACTCCTTCCTCCTCCTATATGCCCCACAACAGCCCTGTGAGGTGAGTTGGGCTGAGAGAGAGTGACTGGCCCAGAGTCATCCATCCGGCTTTCATGAGTAAGGCGGGCCTAGAACTCACAGTCTTCTGCTTTCTAGCCTGGTGCTAGTGACAGTGTACATTTATATTTATGTTTATGACAGTGTACATGCTAAATCTTTATCTTACTTCGTTACAAATAAGCAGCCACCAGTACACACTGCTCAAATCTCACCTGCTGAGTCTTCTCTGCTTCATATGATAGCAAGGTCCAGTTTAGGGGAGGAATTAATTCGTTAACCCATATTTTGACTTAATAGGACATGCAGCTGTGCCTCTGTAAGTCCAGTTACCTAGTCGAGGTCTCCTAGTTTTGGTGGATGTGTATGAATGCACAAAAACTCTTGATACTAATTCCAATCACTTCTGATTCTTTGCTAAATTCCATTGTTCTACCAAGGATCTTGCTCATGGTCATTCATGCCTTAACTGCCTCCCAGTTAGACTATTGCAATGTGCTTTACGTGGGGCTATTCTTGAAGACCATCTGGAAGATTTAATTGGTAGTTATGGGTGCATATTGTTATGCCCATCTGAACCTCTATTAGATGAGCTGCACCGGCTCCTAATAGACTTATGGGTGTGATTCAAAATGCTGGGTATCACCTTTAAGACCTATGTGGCATAGGACTGGGTTACTCGTGGGACCACCTTCTCCCAAGAATATGTGCCCCCCAACAAACTTCCATAGGGAGGGCATGTATCAGGTTCCCTCTTTTAAACATTATGGGACCTAGGACGTGTGCCTAGGACATGTGGCTGCCCCTGGAACAGTCTCTCCCCCCAATCTATAACAGGGCCCAACTCTACTTGCCTTTAGAAAAGTGGGTAAAACCTGGCATTTTCCCCAGGTGTTTAGGTCCAGTTGAGTGGAGTCCCCTTGTAGTTGTCTAATTATCCTGTTTGGTCATCGTTTTATATTTTATATATTGGGTTGTTCTTTTTAATGTTATATGGTTAATTTTCGTGGTCTATTGTTTGTTTTTGTTGTACTTTGCCCAGAGTTACTTTTTTTGAGTTGGGCAGCCCTATAAATCCCTGAAATAAATGAATAAAACAAACAAATCTTTCTGCTATGTGTTAAGAAAGCTGCAGATGATCACCTATGGCTTCCTTCTTTTCCTCAGGCTTGGATCGAAACAAGATGATAAATTTGGCCTACCTCCTTGGCAGTGACTACACTGAGGGTATTCCTACTGTTGGCTATGTAACAGCAATGGAGATTTTGAATGAATTCCCTGGACGAGGATTAGAGCCTCTCTTAAAACTCCTGTAGGCATTTTTTACCATGGAGGTTTCATTTTTATTTTCCAGAGCCTAAGGCAAGATTATTTTTTTTAATATGCCTGTTTTTTGTTTTTTTTAAGGGAATGGTGGGATGAAGCTCAAAAGAATAAGAAAATACGTCCCAATCCATATGACACAAAAGTGAAGAAAAAACTGCGGCACATAGAAATTGCCCCTGGTTTCCCAAATCCTGCTGTGGCAGAAGCTTATCTGCACCCTGTGGTAGATGAATCAAAGGGATCCTTTATCTGGGGAAGACCTGATGTGGAACAAATTAGAGAATATCCTTTCCCTGCTTGGTTCCCTGAACAAACTATTAAAAATTCTAATACAAATGTTTGCATAGGTGAACTGTGCTTCAGTGTAATGGTTTCTTGTTTACTTCTTTGCGTGGAAGAATTTTAGATCCTATAGTTAATAATTATTTATCTGGGGACAGCAGATTCAATTTTTCTGAATACTAATTTAGTAGCACTTCCTTGGCACATGTTTTTTGTTTGCTTGATGCAGAGTTTCTACACTAGTGTAAATAAAATGAGGAAGCTCAGTCTATTAAATACCATGTTTGGCTTTTATTGGTTTAAAAAAACAGCAATGATTGTTTCTTGCCTGATGCAGTTGTCAGTATAAAATAGTCTGGGAATTCATAGTTTTTGCATGTGAAGAGAAGTGTAAGGTTAAAATGAGCAAAAGAGCTTCAAAATGTCCAATTCAAATAGATCTTTAGAAATCTTTTTCGTGTGCTTGTTTGTTACTGATCCTTAATTGTTTGCATATTTTGCCAAAGTCATTTTGGATGGACCAAGTTAAAAACTGATGAAGTCCTCTTTCCTGTCCTCAAACAACTGAATATTCAACAGGTATTACTGAAAATGAAATTTCTTTGATAGTGGTCTTGATGGTCCTACAGTGTCCAAGCCAGGTTTGCTGCAAACTCATAAAACTACTTACCTATGTACATGCAATACTGAATAGAACATTAAGGGTATATTTCTCCCTCCCACAAAATATTTGTTATATAACTAAATTGCCATACTGCATCATTGTGGGAAAGTAGCATCTCCGAGAATCAAATTTTAAAAAAACAGATGATTACTTAGAATTCTGTAGAAAAATTGGTTGGATCAGGTGAAAATATAATCAAGAATTAAGCTACGTGTTTCATAATTTCAGAACTGTTATTTTATATACAATCTGAAAAGAGCAGTACTTACAAAATGAGTATTCCACCACTTTGGGGGGAAAGACATAAATTGTTCCTAAATCAGTGATAGCTACTGTATTTGGTTTTGACATATTTTATGTAAGGCCAGTCCAGAAGAATGAGTGCTGCTTTGGTACTGGGTTGTGTGATTTTTGTTCCTTTTGAGTCGGGGAGAATCATCGGATCAGCTTGAAAGAGAATAGGGCTGGTTGCTGGGTTTTGTTTTTTTTCTCCTATAATCAAATATACAGTTCCTCATTCTCCTAATAAGGAGCATCACAACACTTCTACGCTACAGATTGTCTCTTCATGTTCAGCCAAGTTGTTTGCTTTACAAAAGAGAGATGGGTTGTACCAAAATTTTAAAGTAAAAGATGGATCTTTCAAGCAATTCTAAACTGAAATACGTTTTCTCCCAAGACTGATGAATAACTGGATGTAAGTAAGTACATAAAAAGGGATCTGGATTTAGTTTGTGTTCAGATCTCTTGATTTTTAAATCCAGGAACTGTCAACATTAGTCTCCCTGCTGATGGCTGGAATATTTGTCAGAAGAAAGAAGACCTTTCTTTTTTTGAAGCAGAATTTATATTCAGGCGAAAATTGTTCTCTTGGCAGGCTATAATTTGAGAGCAAATGCCTTTTTTTAGCAGATGCCAAATCTTAATACTGAGTAGGCAAAATCATATCTAGATTGCTTGCTTTCATGGTCAGTGTTCTGGAATAAAGCAGGCTCCTTTCCCCAGACGGTTCCCCTTTGTTCAGAGATTGAAAGGAACTGTAGAGAATGGCAGAGTAGCTGTTTGAATGTGCAGTGTTCATAATCCCAGCATTTAGAAGTGATTAGATGAAGGGATTAAACCAGCTTTACCCAGGTAGTAGCTGGTTACAAACTGCAAAAAAGACTGTGGAGAAAGGGAGCCTGATTTTCTATATCCAAGATTTGGTAAAGATCAAATCTAGGCAAATATATGTAGAAAAAGCACAAATGAATAGCAGTCTTGGCAATTATATAAGAAGTTGTTGGTTGCTGCTATTTAGCAATCTGCATATATTTTCTAATTGTGTATAATTTATAATCTTTCCAAGTAAACTCTGACAGAAACCATAATGTAAAAATGCAGCCACCAATAGTTAATATTTTAGTGACATAATATCGATACAAACAACAGCAGCCTGTGCTAAATAGTTGCTTACCAAAAGTTGTCTAAATAAACAGGTTGCTATCAACCTATGAAAGCAGTCTGGCATCAAGCTCTAGGGAAGCTTTTAAAAAGATGTGTAGGTACCACTAAGAGCAAGTACCTATTGCAGCCTATAGTGGAGCCATATTGATTGCTGGAGAGAAGCTTGAGAAAATATGTCCTGTAAATGTTTTGGCTCAGAAGAGCTTCTGTGAGGTAATGAGTCTAAGCCAAAAAGGTAATATATACTTCAGTGCCAACAAAAATGATGCCAAAATGGGGCTGCTGAGAGAGTAGAGTGGGATATTAGAAAATTGGGGCAACCCTAATGGAGGGCACCCCCTAACAGCCAAATGAAGACTTAGAGTGAATTGACCTGCTTGACCTCCTTAAAGCACCTAGAGGTGGTAGGGAATATCTGGCAATCCAGGTGTTGTGGAATTATTTCCCAACATTCCTCACTGTTGTCAATGCTAGATGTGGCTCCTGGGAACTCTAGTTCAGCACAAGCTGGAGGGCCACAGATTCCCTACTCCATCTTAAAATATGGCACAATTACAACAAAATAATTATAATATTTAGCTAGAACTCTGAAGAGATGTTCTCTTGTCAAGGATGTGAATTTTGTTGCAGATTTTCTTTACTGCAGATAGTATTCTCCATAACTCTTATAGCATCTCACAGGGATACTTTTCTTTCTTTTGTAGACTCAGCTGCGCATTGACTCGTTCTTCAGGCTGGCACAGCATGAAAAACAAGCCATCAAGAGCCAAAGGCTTCGCCGAGCTGTGACCTGCATGAGGAGGAAAGAGAAGGAAGAAGAGGAAAGTGAAGTCCAGGAGGCAACTGCAGTCCTAGAAGAAGAATTTAAACAGAGGAAAGGGCAGGCATCCAGTAAAGGAAGAGCTGGGTGCCAGAGCCGAGGAGGCAAACGGAAAAGACGCCCGCCATCTAAGCCACAGAGCTTTTTTTGCGGTGGCTTCGTAGGAGAGGTTCTGCTCTCGGAGGCATCCAGTGAGTCATCAGCTGATGATCTTGAGAATGAAGCTTCCAAGAAGTACAGAAGAAGGGAGAATGCAGATATGCTCAAAATGAATGTGGCAAGTTACAAAACTAGCCTAGAGGTTGCATCTACACACAGTGAAACAAAGAGTAGTAGCTCCAGTGCAGAGGAGGAAATGCAGATGGTGACAGCCAAGCCTGTGTTTGAGGGCAAAAAAGCACGAGGCAAGACTTTAAGGGGAAGATGGAAGAAATAATGCTAGTTGAAAACATATATGGGTTTTAAACATGCTGTTATAAATTACATAATGTAAATTTCACTAAAAAGGCATTATTTTCCACTTTCTTCATCAATCCCCGTCCCATATTTGAGATGATTAGCATTTGCATATATTGAGACTGGTTACCTACTTAATAACAGCATGATATGAAAGTTTTAAAAAACATTTTAAATAGGAAAGTTCTGTTTACTCCTCAAGAAAGCTTCTGCTGAAGTTTGTCAGCTTGCTTCTGCGAATTATCTGAAGGTGATTTGTGACACGTATGATTTTCAGAATGAAAATGAATTCAATTTAAGGTGTTGCTAATCTGACATTAAGCTTCATACATCACAAAAGACCTAGTGTACAGGGCTTCTGTATTTCACTAGTAGGAAATATATGGGACAGCCTAATTTCCTGCATAACTTGCTATGCACATATTAAAAATCAGTTTGTGTGTTTTGCTTGATTACTTTACAAATATTACTCCATTAATATTTGCTGGAAAGAGCAGAGTTGATCATTTTTTATTACATATGGATATTAAAGAATTAAATGAAATGGAAATGAGAGAACAAGCAGTGGACATAAATAAATTGAAGGAAAGCAAAAAATGGACATCAGATTCAAAGTTCATTTTCTCTGTAGTTAAATTATGAAGCTTTCTGTATTAATCTGGTTCATCTTCCTTCATTTGCCCAATGGAAAAGAAATTTCACATAGTTTTTGTAGGCAAAAATGTGCAAAATATATAAACTACCTTTCGGTTTTCATTTCTTGTTTTACAAAATGAATGCTGAGCAATTTATTGAATTAACTGAATTTATCACATTAACTGAATTTATTTCAGTTTTCTGTCGAAACATACATACTCTCAATTCATCTAACAACACAGCTGAAGCAGATGAAATAGAAAACCAAAATTAAACCACTAAAAAGATGGTTGTTATAGGATGCAACAAAATAATAGAAATGTAGGAATCAAACTGTCAAACAAAAAACATAAAACTATATGCAGATTATGTTGAATTTACAATTACTTATCCAAAGGATTCTTAATAAAGCTTAATGGAATTTATACAGCAGTAGATTTATTATCAGAATATTGGATTAATAAAACAAGACCCAAATGTTGGCATGAAACTTATCTCAGGAAAAAAAACTGCTTTCAGCAAACAACGAGCTTTAACATCACTGCTAAAAAGATCAGTTATCTGGGGATTTATTTAAGAAAAAGTAATAAAGATTTATTTAAGAACATTTACTCCCAGATTTGGAGAAAGCATAATTTTCAAGATAGAAAAAGCTGAAACTGTCCTGGTTAGGAAGAACTGCAGGAGTAAAAATGCCAGAGCTTAGCTTTTTGATCCAAATTCTTCAATAAGAATTGAAGAAAAGGCACTAAATGATTGGAAACAAACAAAAAAATTATATGGCCTAATAAAACACTCAGGGTAAAATTAAAAAAAAAAGACTTGAAAGAATTAGATAGACTAGTAGCAGCAAATTGTATTACCAGGATACTTGTTTAACTTGGATAACATATTGGATTATAACATTTTATGGCTGGATTGCCTGTGTGGAATGAGTAGGCTTTTAAAGGGGTTGCACAAACATGGCTGCTACAAATAGAAAAAATAAAATTTATAAGGGATCATCCAATAATAACTAGTATTTTAAAATATGGGACAAACAGAAAAAGAATCAGTCCAGTTCTATTGCCTCTTGCCTTGATAATAAATATTTTCATGGAGAATATACAAAGAAATATGATCAATGGAGGCATAATAATTCATATAACTGCAAGACTTAATTATTAATAAAGCAATCTTTCAAGGTGCTCTCTTCTGAAAGGCCAGAATCTTTTTATTGGTTTCAGTATCTACAAATAAGTAGCATTGTCCAAAAGGAATTATGAAAACAAGATAGAGTACTTAGAGATCTGACTGAATTTGAAAAAACGTATTACATATAATTAAGAGCTTAACTTATTGGAGAAACTAAAAAATTATTAGTGAAGTATGATTCAGAATGTGAACAAGTTAAAGAGTGTGATTAAATGAATGCAGAATTTAAATAGCACAATCAATATGCAACAATAGGAATATCAATGGAATAAACATATTTGATCAATATTATACTGAGAGAAAATTGGTATCATATGTTTTTCTGGTGATATATTACTCCAGAAAATTACCAGATAGACAATTGATTACCAAAATAGACAATTCATTCTCAAAATATTCCTGGAAATGCCATGAGGTTGGATCATTTTTCCGATGTGGTGGCAATGTTGTACAGTCCAACAGTTCTGGAAAATGATTTATAATAGCATGAAACAAATTTTCCTTTCCAGCCTGTCATATTTTTATTAAATATTACTAAACCTTATATTCCCCTAAGGTATACTGAATTGGGTTTGTACATGGTATAGCTACAAGAATTCTGTATGCCTCCCACTGAAAATACAGTTTCTTCCATAGAAGAATAACAAAGTAAATTATAGGAGTATACTTCAGTGTCTTAGGATAACTCTGTTAGTCTATTGTAGCCTAAAAGAAAATCAGTCTGGTAAGACCTTTTCAGACTAACAAATGTTATTAAAAGCTATAAATTTTTGTAAGCTATAACTCACTTCATATTCATGGAGTGGCTAAACTGATGTAGGATTTAAACTGGGATGAGGCAATGTCAAAATTAACTTCATGTCTAAAAATTAAATCTGATACAGAATTTACCGCAATGTGGAAACTATATAATTCTTACAAATAGATTCATACCACATCCAAAGTTTGGGTTTTTTTAACATAAGATTATAATTATATTGTGATCTAAATGTATTGAACATAGATCAGGCAATAATTACTGCAATTTTTAATCTTGGTTCATAATTTATAATTTGAGCTATATTGGTTATAGTGGTTAGTTATTGCAAAATAACCCAAATTAAAAACTGCCTTCTTTTACTACTAATACATTTCAAATTGAAATGAGATATTCTGATATGCAAATTATATTAATGTTGTTTTGAATTTTTAGCTAATTTTACAGTGCTTGTAAATCTCCTTTTTTATCTATTTTCTGTTCTTTTTATTCTTTTATTGTTTTCCTTTATTGTACTTGCAAAATTAATAAATGAGAAAAAAAGATGGTGGTTATAATAATGCAGTGATGTTCCTCCTTTTTTGTTCTACTGAGTGACAAAAGTAGTTTTCGTTGTTGAATAGACTGTTGTGTACCACAAGCAAATAGCGGGACCAAGGATTGTCAGTCTGGCCTTGCTTAACTTTGGTGAACAAAAACAGGCTGCAAGTAAATTGGATGTGAATCTGGAGTACCTGAACGTGACTACAATAAACTGTTAAGGATGCAATGAACAGTAACTCTGATTATCTTTACTTTTATCTCGAGGGGTATGAGAGACAAGTTAACTTTGTAGTTGTGTTCATTCCTATCATCACAAAATTTAATACTTTGATCTGGAGCACTATGACCAGTTTGTATTAAATGTTTACGTGACATTTCAGCTTATTTTATATGACATACCAGTGTTCTTGTCTCTGAGCAAAAGAAGAAAGGGCTAGGAATTATCTCTATTCATGCTTCTTGTCTAATGCTATCTGCCCCAGATTGGTTTATGTTGGAGTTGGGAGAGAAACTGAGTGATGTCACAGCCCATTTTTACCAGCTTTTCTAACTTCTAGCCAGCATGAACCTTGATTGAGGATGATGGAATTATAGGCCAACACAGCTGGAGAGCATCAGGTAGGGGAAAGTTACTCTGTAGGGGTATCTCATTTTATCCTAGTTCTGTGATTGCTCTGTTCTCTCAGAGAGTGCTTAATGCAGTACAATACAATCCATTCTGTCAGGCCCAGCCCAAGAACGACAACGAGGCAGTCCAGTCCAGTATAGTTCCTTTATTAGCTTGCACCTAATAGATAGAATCTCGCCATAGTAAACCTATGCTAAAGCAACTAGTGGCTATACCCCGTGAGACTCAAGGGAGGGGCCAGTCTCAGCTTCTTCACCTTCTCACGGTCCTGCTGTGGGCTGAAGAAGCACTTGCTAAGGAATGCTCCCCCTCCCTCCTGATAACCTTGATCCTCCATTCCAGTATCCTCCTTGCACATGCCTTCCATTACACATTCCCTTGATTTGAATTTTTTTTTTTCATTTATTCTTACCTTCTCCAACTTGATACCATCTAGATTACAGTTCCCAGAAACTGCAGCCATTATGCCAAAGTGGTATTGTTTGGTAGTTCTGAAAGTTGGTATGAGGCTGAGAAAGGCTGTTGTACTGTATGCATTCATTTTCTCAAACAGTTTAAAACTTGGCAGGGGGATCATGCTTGTATGTTGGTGTCAACACAACTCTTCCTGAGAAAAACTGTATCTGGACTGCGAGGATGCTTTGATTTCAGTTCTGTTCAGCGTTTGCCATGTAAGTTCTAAAATAAGAAAAGAACCATATTTCTGCAAAGACCAATATGATTTATCTGGCTGTGGAATATGAGACATTAAAATGTTATTCTCTAAAACTAGGTGTCAATTCAAAATTAAGTCCTGCTGAGTTGGTCTTCATCAGCTTGAGATACGTAGTAGAATTCCAGCTTTATTTTGCTAATTTGAGGCCAGAGTCTGACCGGCTTGCCTGTTGTCATCACTGTCCCTTCTGTGTTATGTAAGTGTACTTGGTGTTTTGGTTTTCTTCTCCCAATGAAATTCAAGGGCAGCTGTTGGTTTTATTAATTCTCTTACCGGGGAGTTGTTGACAGATTGCATTTCAGACTGATCTGCTGTTTCTCTCTAGTACTCAGTACTCAGCTAGAGCTGCGGGGAGAGAATTAGCAGATGAATAATTTTGCTTTCACTTTTTCTGGATACAGACAAGAACAAAAGGTATGTCGCTTGAACATTTATACATTTTAAGGTTCTAGAGACGTAGTTCGTTTTTAAAATTACTCTGAACAGCACACAACTCTAACAGCTAGACAGCTCATATTTTGGGTTTTGTAGGCTGTTCTAGATTACAGCTCCTAAGATCATGTGGAATAGAAAAGACATTTTGTGAAATGCCTGTGAGGAATGAGTAGTGCAGAAAGTTTCTTTGGTCATTTTTTTTCCTGCCACTGCTACTGTTACAGTGACCTAGAACTACGTATGTTTATTTCTTCTGCGTAAACATGCTTAGGACATATCACAAAATCTATGTTTATATCTCACATAGATGCAACTATTATGCTTGCTTGTTGGCTGTATCGCTTCAGCCTCGTGATTTGCTATGCTGGCTTGAGTCAATGAAATGTATATATTGCTTCTGCAGACCTAGAAAATACTGTGTAGGAGTCAGCTTTTGTAAGGAGCTCAAGCCACTTCTAGCGGTATGGTGGAAAATACCGTCTAAATGAAAGAAAAGGTTCTCTATTACTGTGGCTCAAGACTACTGTTGGGCATGCAGTTGTGTGTTTATGAGCATTTGGCAAATATGCTGTACTTTCTGCGACTTGCTGTGCAGTGTTATTAGGGCAATCATTAATGGAATAAGTGGAGGCAGAAGACCATTAAGATGGTCCGCCCCAGAGACAGAGGGTAAGACAAAATGAGTAAAATTGCCCCCAAATGCCTTTCTTGCTCCCTGGAAGCTAAACTCCCTGCTTTTCTGGGGAGCTCCAAGCAATGAAAGAGGCCAAGAGACAGCTAGAGTGCAAATGGTGCAATGCCCATTGTGAGGGCAGCTGGACAAGCATAAGAATATATAACCCTGCCTATTGCATAAGAGGAAAGAAGGCTTGCTTTACATCCTGTAAGTACACAGCAAACAGAGCTTTTTTGGAACGGTTAAAGGCATAGTATCATTTGCTATAGATAATCTCATATTGGAACTTCTGTCTCCAAGCCATATATTTATTTATTATTTGAATTTATTAGTCACCCAACTCCAATGGACTCTTGTATCCTGCTCTTGATGTAACATCTAGTGATGGGATCAATGCATTGTTTGGTCCAGTTATATAGGAACACTTTCAGTTTTTGTGCCTGGAGAACATGGACAAGACACTTGTAGCTAGATAGCCTACAGTGTGCTCAATGGAGCCTTGCCCATCTTGGCTTATTCAATGCAGCCAGGGTGTGTGCAACTAGTGGATACAAGGAGCATGAACACTTTGTGTAATAAATGGTGCTGCTGGTCTTATGGGAGGCCGTAATGCATTTACCCTTTTAAAAAAAAAAAAAAACTTTCTGGGATTTAGAGATTTATAACAATTACTGCCCGGTTACAAATACCCCTTTTTGAACAAGGTATTTGAGAAGGCAGCCAACAGTTTTGAAAGAAATAAATTATTTTAATCCATTTCTGTCTGGATTTGAGACCTGGATATAGGACTGAATCAACTTCATTGTCTTGATCAATGACCTCATGTGGGAAAGAAATAGACTTTTATGGTTTTGCTGGGTCTTTCAATAACTTTTAATACTAATGACCAGGCTCCTGCTTTAATGTATAGATGTGCTTTCAGAGAATAATATTGGGTATTTGTGCCCTGGCGTCTGGGCAGTTATACTGGCAATATTACTGTATAAGGCATTATCTTATTCTCTGTGAGAGCAGCCATTAGGAATTGCCATCAATATGCTGGTGATATTCCCTATGACATCTGATTCAGCAGGATATATGTATACTCCGGACTGGTATCTAGAATCAGTTGGATGAGAACAAAGAAATCAGTATTGAATCCTGTCAGTGGATGGATGTGAATGGATGGATCCTTGGCAAGGGAATCTGGGAGTTTGTCTGTTCTTAATGAGGGGGCACTCTCTCAGAGCAGGTACCAAGACTGAGGTCTTCCTAGAACTGTCACTGTTGCTAGAAGCCCAAGTGACCTCTCTGGTTGGGACTGCCTATTCCTAGTTTCAGTTAGATTATCAGCCAGACTTTTCTAGACACGGATATCTTACCAACTCTTCTCTACACACCAGTAACTCCACATTTGGATTACTATAATGTCCTCTTTGTGGGACTACTTGTGTGTCTAATGCAGAAGATGCAGTTGATGCAGAATGTGCTGGCCAGGTTGCTGAAGGTCACTATCCATATATTCTATCCAGACTGAAGCAATTTAAATTCATATGAACTAAAACTAACAGTTGGTTACCAATTAGATATTGGTTCAGGTTCAAGATTTTATTATTGGCATACAAAGCCTTAGCCAACTTGAAACGAGGACACAAAGATCACCTTCCCTAGTATAGGTTTGTATGATCACTAAGATAATCCGGGGAAATCCTATTGCGAGTGCTATAAATTGTGGATTATCAATCTGTTATTCACAGATTTCTCAGCCATAGTGCCTACTGATTGAATATTTAAGGGGTGCTTACTATTACACTGCTACTGATACTGAGGACCCATCTTTTCACTCATACCGTTCCTGATTGAATACATTTTCTGTTGTTATTATTTTATATTATTTATTTTTTCCTCCATTTATTCCCATCCAGTTTAATGCTGCATGGTAACTCCTTAAACATTTTTTATTACAGGTTTTTTTTGGTAAAACAATTTGAAGTTCTCATAATAATGTTGACATGCAGCAGAGAGAATCATTGTAAAGTATTTGTCAGCATAGAGCAAAACAGGATAAAGAAAGGCATCCTTACAACCTGAAGATGTCAGTATTCGCATGTGGAATAAATTAGATGTATTAAATAAAACATATATATTTCTCAAGAGGTTTTAATTAAGAATTTGAAGATCAATCTAGATTTATAAATACTTGTGTCATTTATAATTTTCTAAAACGTAAAAAATTGGTTTGCATTTTTGTGCAATGCAATGCAACCATATTAAATACATGTATTCAGTTTTCTAAATATGACCTTTTTTAACACTTTCCCAAATGTTACACCTTTTTATGGTATGTAGTTTTTGGAAATATGCACAGTGTTTGAGATGAGAAACACATCTATTTATGTCATATCTTTTGATAGATCTTGCAATTTTGTTTGAATAGGAATCTATCTCAGGTGCTTTTTTGGGGGGGGGGGTTGTTTTTTACATCTCTTGTGTAAAGTTCTTTTGGAGGGACACTGAAATCTGTGAAAAATTGAGATGTGACATGGTGCCAGTACAAAAGCATGACATTCATTCAGCTATAGTGTTCAGTGACCTTGTCCATGAAGTTGGCTTTCCTCGGCATGAATTTAGACCCAGTCATTGCTATTAGAGCTATTCCTATCAATAGCCAATAATAATTTAACCACAAAATTAACATTGGCTGTTGACCATTACAGAAAAGTTTTATTGCTTCTTATTTACTTATCCAACAAGAAAGCATGACTAATGGGATGGGTTCTACTTCATAGAATCATACTTAACTGTCTTAATTATTACTTCTTATGTTGTTACCTAATATTTTTGGTTTCATTTCTAGGATTGCTAACTTTATTTGCCCAGGACTTTGTATGACATGGATTCAGAATCCTCTCAACACAAATGTCTTGTAACAAATGAATTATCTAGAAAGCCAGACCATAACAAAGGTAAATATTACACATTCTTCTACCCAGTTTTGTGGCTAGCTTGCTGTGTTTCATATCTGTTGACTGATGATATAACAAACCTTACAACAAAACCCCCAACACCTGGTGGTTTTACAACAAAACCACCAACAGGATAGGCAAGTTATTTTTTTAGTTGATAACCACATGTTGACATTTTGAGAGAAAGGTATTACTTTTAATATTCTGGTAAATGGTAGTCTACCAGTAGATAGTAGCTTCTGGCTGATTTTTGGGCATGGAAGCTAAGCCTGGTTAGTACTTGGATAGGAGATCATCAAGGAATACTAGGCTAAGAAGTCTAAAAACAGTCTAGAAGTTGGGAGTAGTCATCTACTCCCATTGTTGCCAAGGAAATGACATGGATGTGTCTATGAAGTTACCAAGAACTGAAATGGAGCCAAAGGAGACTTCACCTTTAAATAGATATCATAAAGGAGCCATTTATTGGAGGACAAAGTAGTGAGGTTGTTCTTATGGCCCGTTCTAGTCCCCTAGGACGCTGTCTACTCTTCCCCAGCTAACCTCTGTGGTATCGGTAGGAGGATGCAATTCCAAATGAAATTTTGGGTTACACTCCCCATCATTTTTATGTTCTAAGGATATAAAATATTTTAGGGGCACATTTGAATTGGAGACTTTGACAAATTATATTGAGGCACAAATGGGTTTATTGACAGTGCCGGAGGTAAAGACAGGCCTAAAGAGGGGTGGGGTTACTTGGACAGAGCAACTAGGTATATCATAGGCTATAACACATCATGTGTCTAGTGAAGTCTGTGAAACCATTAGGGTGTGACTAAGAGGTACTGGGACAGGACTTCAAAGACCATGGGGGTTTGAAAGAACAAAGGCAGTATTTCACGAACATAGTTTATTTCTGGGGCATTACTTTCTTATGTTTTCCCAAATACTGCTCACCTCCCACTATCTTTTCCCAGTTTATCAGCATTTCTTGGCCTCCTCAGTATTCTATGGCTGAGCTGACAGTGTAATTCTCCCAAGAAAGAGTTTTGGTAATGTGGTAGTTGCCCTGTTTGACACCATACAGCTGAGTCAGTGCTTTGTTTTCCCTGGGAAGATGTAGTTGGGTCAGGGGCTTTTAACTTGCTCCCTCATCTCCTACAATGTCTGTGAGCTCTTATATAGACTCCAGAGGCATTTATATAAATAATGACAATTCTACATTAACACGTTATTTTGTGCTTCTCACAAATTCTTAGCTTTTCATTTATTTTCATTTAAAAAGAAACTGGGGGGTGCCCATGAAGGGGACAATGCTACATGGGTTCCCATAGACATTCCACTAGGAATTATAATCTCAACACGTTTGGAATGTGCCATGAGGTACACTTTCATTTATATAGTGGATAGTAGTATTACAGTACTGAATTCATGTCCCATGGTCACTGCTGCTCACTGTTTAGTCAGGAGAAGACAATTAGGGGAATAGAGACAAAACTAATGAAATAGCAGAGCAGTACAGAGTAAACCCTAAGCAGGACTGTGGAAATGGCTTTATAATAGAGAAGAACAACCAATATGTTGCAAGAATAGCGCCCTTCCTCCAATGTATTCGACTACTACCTTTCCGTTCCCAAAAATATGATCCCCCCCAAGAATGTGCTGGAAGTGGACGTTAAGTCAGGTTGTTCAGTCTCTTTGGTGATCGCTAGGTCAGAAAAAACTGGGATGGAATTACAGAGCTTAGGTGTTGAAAAATATGTTTATGAGGAAAAAACTCTTTAAAAAGAACAACTAAGGTCCCCAGGTCCTCAGGGTCTTAGCAGGGTATCGTTTCCCTTGACAATACAGTGGTACCTCGGGTTACGAACTTAATCCGTTCCGTGACTCTGATCGCATCTCGAATTGGTTGCAACCCGAGGCAAATTT